AAAGCAGCATCCCACCTCAGCCGTTCCGCAGTGTGGCAATGAACAGAAGGCTTCCTACAGGAAGGGAAGCATGAATGTCCTCCTGTACTGTGAATTCAGGTGAAGGTATTTGGCCAGGATTGCAGGAGGAAGTAAGAGACGTGCAAAGCAGTTGATTCATAGAAATTTCAAAATGCAGCGGGGGAACGAATTTTATTTTTCTACTTCTAAAAATGGGAGGAGGAGAGAAGGAGGACAGAACGAAAACATTGTCTTGCTACTTGAGAAAAAGCCAGGAAATACACAGAAGAAAGATGAATTATGTATTCATGGAAATGAAAGCTCCACAGAAAATAAATTAAATCCTCATTCTCCCCTTTTCAGAGATGATTCTGCCAGTGCTGTTCCTGTGTCTCGCAGCTGTGCTGCCTCTGTCCACTGGAGAGGTAGGAGCCACACTCTGTACTCAGAAAATCTGGATGGGACCCAACATACTTGTGATCTGACTGAACATGTTTTTTCCTATGCACACCTGTCATGCAGAAAGAGACTGATTAGACATCTAGGATCTGGAAAGCATTTACCCTTGAAGTCTGTTTAATTTTAAAGCAGTAGACTGGTTCCACACTTGCACACTAAACCATGTGTAGGCTCAATGTTACTTACAAGTTGGGTCAGAGATAACTATATTTTCCAGAAGCTGCCATACACAGATCCAGTAACTTGGATCTCCCAAAGATCCAGCCCTCTTCCTGTTAATTCCTTACACTTTTACAGGCAGCAGTTACCTAACTCTCTCCCTTTCTTGTCCTGCAGGTCCTGAGCTATGTGTCTCTCCCTTTGCTCACAGTCCCATCCTCTCAACGTGTATCACTGACTTCCCTCAAACAGCTAAACAAACTTAAATACTCAGTGCACACTTAGAGTGGTTCCTCCCAAACCATACTTATTCTGAAGTTTGAAGTTTGCTACTTCTGCTTCAGAAACACTAATGTGACTGAAGGCTTGACTACGTTTCTCCCTAATTCTTCAATTTCTGCTCTCCATGCTGCAGTCTAGAAGACTAGTGAGAATGGTTGTAAAGAGGAGGCTGAGTTCTTCACATGGCTATTTCTTAATTGGAAAACACATTAAATATTTGAGAAATGCTATCAGTTATGGCAGGAGTGGAAGAAAATCTATGGCATGAAAAACATAGGCACGCTTTTTTGTTTCGTAGGATGTCCTGATGAAGTACCACAAGAGGTCTGTCATGATCCTGTGATTAAATAACAGGTTCCTTCAATAAGAAAAACATTGATAGGCATGTTTAAAATATTGAAGAAGGGGAACACATCATAAGCACATTCACATCTTCAGCTGATTTTTAGATCCTATTTCCTCAAAACCTCATGAAGGAATTTATAATAATAGTAAATTAAGTCTGATTCAGTTGCCTAAATTTAAGAGTCTACAGGCACATGAGATGTTCCAGTTTACCTCAGCCATCCACAGAGGGTTGGCAGATACAATGCAGGAACCAGTGTTATTACTGCTAAGCTCTATGCTGTGGAACCACTGGAAGTGTTACTCCACATGGAAGCACCCCTAGAGATACTTAGGAGACAAAGCGTATCACAGTACCTTCTCCATCACAGGGATCACCTCATTGGTTGATATTAGTATTTTGGTTTTTTAATATTTCTTAGACAGGATTCAGGATTTTGTTACATTCAAATGAAAAAGAAATATAACATGTTCTTTCAATTTAGGAACCTGAAGGTTTCGATATTCTGTCAACTAGCAAAGCAGATCAGCAGAAGCTGATTGTTGACAGACATAATACTCTCAGGAGAGGAGTACAACCAACTGCCAGCAACATGATGAAGATGGTAAGTTGCATGCTGTAAATCTATTTGCAATGAGTAATGGACCCTATGAGAGATGCAGGATTGTATGCAAGGTCACATTATTTTATTTAGCTACAGATTCACCCTCCAGACCTTTCTTAAGGATTCAGCATGGCCAGCACCAAGAGAAACATAAAGCTGGGCAGGTGGGAAAAATAAGTCTGGAAAATGTTGTGGTGTATGAACAATGATGTCTTTCTTTTGGAGGAAAAAGAAAAGGAAAAAGCAGAGCCATGGCACTGTTCATTTCTTTCTGATGCATTCTTCATCAGCCTTCACAGTTTCTATTCTTCTCTTGGGTGCATAGTAACTGTGTTCCTACTCGCCCTACCCCCCAAAAAAGGGGAAGAAAAAGATTTTGTATATGATTTTTTTCTGATTTGAAGTGTAATTTCCAAATGTTGTTCCTTCATGAGGGGTTATTCATTGGTACATGTCTGTATGACTAATATTTTCTTCTTTCATTAAGGAATGGTGTCCTCTGGCTGAAAAGAATGCCCAAAAATGGGCCAATCGATGTACTTTAAGTCACAGTCCTGCTAACATGAGGAAAACCAGTAAGTGAAGCATGAATGCTAACTGAATAATGTCATACATGTTATTGTTGTGACCAGTTTGGTTTTTGTGGGGGTTTTTTGAGATGCCATTTATATTGAATGTGATTTTGTTGGTGCATGAGACAAAGGCAAAATTCCAGATATAAATCTGCCCAGTAACTGAGAAAAAGTTCATTCTCATCCCAGTTGCATCAGTTTTACACAGGTATATCCCATTTTCTTCAGTAGGTGAAAAAAATCATAGTGAGAAAGCATATTCTCTCAAAATATCCATCAGAAAGAAGAGAATCTAGACCCAGTCTACTGCAGAAACTAGCTTGCATGTGCTGGGATGAAATTTTCTAGGAAGGAAGGGGCAAAAGGTGAAGGTCCAAAACCAGCTGGTGGTGTTAAACATCATTTCTAAGATGAGATTCATAGTTTTTAAATCCCCTGGCAATTTGCAACCCATAACTATCTTGGAGGCTCATGTAAACACTTCAGTCATTGGATATTGAAGTTACAGCTATACTGCGTTAACAGTAGTCACGATCAGTGCCCAATGTGGTGTTGACTGACTTCTGTCTATACTGCACGTAAGATGTGGACTGTCCTTCAGTCCCCATACTTTTTGCCTAAAAAACAAATCCTCTGGTTCTTGCTAAGGTGAATTCCAGACAAGAACTAATGCGTACGCAGTGGGGTTGTACCTGAATAAAAACAGTAGGTGACGATACTGTAGACACCTTCTTGTGCACCCAAAGTAATCTTTGCGTTATTGGGATTTTCCCAAGATTACTGAGCTGTGACCTGAATAATGACTAGTTTGCTAAGTTTCAAATAGCAAAATTACAGTCGTGAATCTGTGGTGTACACGTGCAGGTATATCTACAGATATGCAAAAGGTTTGTCAACAACCAAACTACCAGCCAAACAGGCTGGCCATGCTGAAAACTGGTCAAGTGACAACCTCAGTATTGACCAAGGCTGATGTCACTGAATTGGAGGAAAAAAAAACACCCTGCTGTCCCATCTGGGATGAGAACTTCCATGGAAATCATACCAGCTTTTGCTGTCTTTTTCTCACAGGTGTATCTTTTATGCATTTCTCAGTACCTTTCTCTTTTCAGCTGTACAATGTGGCGAAAACCTCTTCATGTCATCTGCCCCTTTCTCATGGTCAGATGTTATTCAGACCTGGTACAATGAGAAGAAAAATTTCCAGTATGGAATTGGAGCAAAACCACCAGGTGCTATGATTGGCCATTACACTCAGGTAGATGCAACTTTTTTATATTTCAGGCTGAATAAATAAATATCTGTATATTAGCTAAGCAACTTTTACCCTTTCATTATTTTTAAATGGAATAAGTACAATGGAGACACAAGAGTTATTCTGACAAAACAAGATGAAAACTTTCAAAGTAACAGCATTAAGATGAAAATAATAGACGAAGTGTCTTTACGGAGTAAAGAGTAAAGATACCGGTATTTCAAAAATTCAGGAAGAAACCAAGGGAAGAAACATATTTGTTTGTTTAACATCTGAAAATTGCTCAAACACTGGAAAAATAGGGTTATCAAAGTATCAGGAAGGAAATATAAATAGGTTTGTTACAGTCTACAGAATTCCATTGACTCAGAGAGTTTCCAGTTGGACAATGGCTTATGATAAACTCCTCTGTTCACCTGCACAAAACACAGGAAATAAAATTTTACATCATGATTTCTACATCTTCTCCAACAGTTTTAATTAAATGAAAACATACATAATTGAGACAGTTTAACTCAAACATTTTATATATGTGTGATAAATTATTATCATTATATCCTAAAAGTTCTTTGCTTCAAGGGGTGAAAGCAGGGAAAAAAAAGTTTTTCCAGCAAGATGGAACTTTTATTTTATTTTAAAGGGTAAATAAAGTGACTTAACTTTATTAACTTCTGTAATGCATATTGTACTTAAATGATTTTCAAATGTATATTTTTAATTCTCCCATGATTTTTATTCTTATACCTACAGGTGGTTTGGTACAATTCTTATCAAATTGGATGTGCCGTCGCTTTCTGTCCGAACAGTAAATACAAATACTTTTATGTCTGCCAGTACTGCCCCATGTACGTATTGATTCTGATTCTGGAACTTCTTTTTACATTATCAAATTTAGTCAGGAGATGGTGAAATTTGTGATAGGGCACATCACCCATAGCTGAGGAACAGGTTTGAAGGGTGTATTAGGAATACAAAAAGACAGAAAAACACTCATCAAAAGAATTTTTAAACAAGCAAAAACATAAAACAGATAAAAATGACACATTTTCAGATTAAATTTAATTTGCCTAAAAATCCTAATTTTGATAATAGAAAATCACAAATATTTTGCACATTCTACTTGAAATCTTGGTTCAGAAAGGCATATCAATATGTACAGTACAGTGAAGACTATAATTAAGACCAAAAACTTTAGTGGGAAATTTAAGGCAGAGTGATGGTTTCATAAAACGCCTAAAATTAATTTTCACATTTACATTGTAATATATCGCAGTGGGTTGACCTTGGCTGACTGCCGATAGCCCCCCAAGCTGCTCTATCACTCCCCCATCCTCAACAGGACAGGGGGAGAAAAAAATATAAGAAAAAGCCTGTGGGCCAAGATAAGGACAGGGAGATCACTCACCAGTTACCATCACAGGCAAAACAGACTCCACTTGGGGAAATTAATTTATTGCCAAACAGAGTAGGATAATGAGAATTAAAAACAAATCTAAAAACACCTTCTGCCTACCCTTCCCTTCTTCCCAAGCTCAACTTCCCTCCTGATTTCTCTACCTCCTCCCTCCAAGCAGCGCGGGTGGATGGGGAATGGGGGTTGCAGTCAGTTCATAACATGTTGTCTCTGCCTCTCCTTCCTCCTCATGCTCTTTTCCTGCTCCAGCGTGGGGTCCCACCCATGGGAGACAGTCCTTAACAAAATTCTCTAACATGGGTCCTTCCCACAGGCTGCAGTTCTTCACAAATTGCTCCAGCATGGGTCCTTTCCATGGGGTGCGGTCCTATAGGAATGGACTGCCCCAGCATGGGCTCCTCTCCACGGGGTCACAGTCTCCTTCAGGTGCATCCACCTGTTCTGGCGTGGGGTCCTCCCCGGGCTGCAAGCAGGTCTCTGCTCCACTGTGGACGTCCATGGGCTGCAGGAGGACAACCTGCCTCACCATGGTCTTCACCACGGGCTGCAGGGGGATCTCTGCTCCAGCACCTGGAGCACTTCCTCCCCCTCCTTCCTCACTGACCTTGGTGTCTGCAGAGTTGTTCCTCTCACATATTCCCACTCCTCTCTCCTGGTTGCTGTTGCACAGCAGTTTTTACCCTTTCTTAAATATGTTATTACAGAGGCTCTACCACTGTCACTGATTGGCTCAGCTTTGGGCAGCAGTGGGTCCATCTTGGAGCCAGCTGGCATTGGCTCTGTCTGGAATAGGGGCAGCTTCTGGTGTCTTCTCACAGAAGCCACCCCTGCAAATTCCCTCCCCACCCCACTGCTGAAACCTTTCCAGATAAACCCAACAGACGTATAAAACTTGTTTGACATATAACCAAAGACTGAGGGTGAATTAATATATGTATGCATCCATATAATTAAGTTTTACCTCAGATATGTTATAGTGACTTTATAGCTTATGTTGGCAATGTTGATGTTTCAGGGGGAATCTACAAAGTTCAATTCGGACACCCTACAAAAAAGGAAAACCCTGTGGTGATTGCCCTAATGCTTGTGAGAATGGCTTATGCAGTAAGTTTTAAGCATTTTAATTGTGACTCAGGTAAAGTTGATGCTTTAAAAAAATCCCAATTAATTTATTGCGAATGGAAATTTTTATTTGTTCAAATACCAGGCCACAAGACTATTACAGAACCACACTTCAGCATGCCAGGTGTTTTACCTAGGTGGGATGAATTGTGGAGTGAAACCAACGAAGAAGGAGTCTATGATAAGGGTGGGCAAATGTTAGTAGTTGGTGTACACTGTGATGCAGATACCCTTCACTTCATGGATCAAGATATTCATATGGCCTTAATTAAAGATGACAATGTCTGGGTCTTCATATGGAAACTCTTATGAATATTTCCTAGTGTAAGAAGATGCATTGACTGCAGTGAGGTCAAAGATATATTTATACCAGTGGTAGCACAGAAATCTCAGCTCCAGATTTCCAGCTGCAGTTTATATGCTTTTCCACACCCAGGAGAGGCAATTCTCATCCTTGAATCTAGGAAATGCCGGGGAAGGAGGGGACCTCTTTATGGTTTTTTTTTCTTCTTCCTCCTTTGAATAATGGTGGTTGATCAGGTAGCAGTAACAACACACTTGATAAGAGCAAGTAGAAAATCTGAGTTTTAAGAATTCTAACAAAAAATAAAAAAATATGGGCTGAGCCTCAAGATGTAAGATTTCACTTCAAGACTAACTTCTGTTATGTAATTAACTTAATTCTAGATTCATTAGATGTATAAAGACAGAAAGCTTCACAACACCTTGCAAGTTCAGTGAGAAAACTCCTTGAAAGAGCTAAGAATTTTGTATGTGTGGTCAAAGGTTTTGGATGCTGCTGTGGAGTAAATGACAACAAAGAGGAAAAAAACTACAGAGAAAATAAATATTGATGAAAAAATATTCCGAAAGGAAACACTGCAGGTTCTTATTTCCCATTTATGATTAATTTTGTGTTTCAATTAATTTTCAGAAAAACTTTGAAAGTTTGAAGATGTTTATTCCAACTGCTTTGGCAAAGTCTCCTGCATGTACCCATAGCTTCATCAAGTTCACTGCCCTGCTTCCTGCCAATGCACAACTGAAATAAAATAACAGGCTCAACTTTTTCCTTCCTGGACATCCATCACCTTAGTGACTTCTTTCACAAAAACAGATTCCATCCTGCCTCTCCCGTATATGCAAGACTAACTTCAGTCCAGTGATTCATATGAGAAAAAGCTGTAGAAAGATGTAATATCCTACTCGTATAATGGTCTAGAACATAGTGGAGATCTTAATTGAAATTTGGCATTTGGGTACCAGATATATTTAATGGCTAGCTTCTCACATCTTTCTTTTTCCAAAGTGTTATCTAAGGATTGTTTAAAGTTCTGTGGTTCTATATGTTTCATATGTTCTTAGTATAGATGGATAGTCCTTGATCATGCAACTAGACTTAACTTGACCAACATTTTGAACTATTGCACTGTTATCAGGACCAGAAGATAAACAGGATTACCTGAAATATGTTGTTCTCAAAAGGAATTAGGAGAGCAGCACAGTTTCCATTAGAACTATTCTGGTTTAGAATCTGTATCGTTTGCTGACATGCATTCTACTGTAAAATGCTCAGTTGTACTTAAACATTAAAAAAAAAAAGTGTATGCCATTTAAATTAATGATCCTGCCTATAGTATAAGATTGCACTTAGCATAAATATATGTAACCAAACCTGCCCTCTAATGGAAAAGAACTGTCTGAGAAAAGGGCTTAATTCACAAAAATAGATAGTGAAGGGAAAGGTCTGCGTTTGGAAACTTTGCTTTTAATAATAACTAACAGTGTATTCCAAAACTATGTTTTAATATCTGCTTTTGCTGTTTCAATCATTAAATTACTCATTCTTCACTGACCAATTCATTGTAAGTTTCCTTTTTTCTTATTACCATGAAATACAGTTCACTTAATTTCCACCAACTTTGTGACTTTATCAGCATTAGGTCTTGAAGGGAGCCTGATTCTTTAGCAGCATAAGCAGAAACTGTTCCTGTGAGAAACTGAAGATTTCCTAGACAAAAACAGAAGTCAGGAAAACAACTTTCCTTCAGACCCTTTTTCAGTGAGAATGACCATTAACATAAATAACATGCAATACTCACTTCTATGACCTTTGGGAAGCAAGTGCTCTTCTGTGCAGTCAACAGTGGGACTAAATATTATTTTAGTCTCACCTTACAATGGTTTCACATTCCAGTCCTCTTTTAGTAAGGAAGCTGCTGTCATAATTAAGATTCCAAGTCCCAGAGTCTTTTGCACAGAATAATTTTAGCAACACATTTCTGACTCATTCATTTCAGCGGCAATTTCAACACTGTTGTGGTTTAACCCCAGACAGCAACTAAGCGCAACACAGCCGCTCACTCGCCCCCCACCGGTGGGATGGGGGCGAGAATCGGAAAAGTGAGAAAACTCATGGGTTAAGGTAAAAACAATTTAATAGGTAAAGCAAAAGCCGTGCATGTAAGCAAAGCAAAACAAGGGATTCATTCACTGCTTCCCATCAGCAGGCAGGTGTTCAGCCACCTCCAGGAAAGCAGGGCTCCATCACTTATAATGGTTACTTGGGAAGACAAACGCCATCACTCCGAATGCCCCTCCCTTCCTCCTTCTTTCCCGCAGCTTTTATTGCTGAGCATGACATCATATGGTGTTGGATATCTCTTTGGTCAGTTGGGGTCAGCTGTCCCAGCTGTGTTCCCTCCCAACTTCTTGTACACCCCCAGCCTGCTCTTTGGTGGGGTGGTGGGAGAGACAGAAAAGTCCTTGACTCTGTGTAAGCACTGCTCAGCAATAACGAAAATATGCCTGTATTATCAACAGTTTCCAGCACAAATCCAAAACATAGCCCCATAGTAGCAGCTATGAAAAAAATTAACTCTATCCTGGCCGAAACCACCACAAACACACATTTCTGATTCATTCATTTAAGTAGCATTTCTTCTTATATGAAATATGAGCATTAAGTTAAAAGCCTAGTTTCACAATTCAAAGTGCTTATTGTTTGGGTTTGTTTTTTTCTCATTCATCTCCACCACTTTTTCCCTCCATGATATACTGCCCTCTCATTTGGGTACATCTCTACTAGAAATTAACAATGCCAGGACATAGATGTGAGCACTGGAACATGACTTACTGCACTCTTAAATAATTAGCATAGGTCCAAGTAAGAATGATGATAATGCAGTAGCTAATCCAGTGTTGTTACCATTAAGGAAATGGGTAGACCTGTTACCCCCACTCCTAAATAAGTCCATTTACTATGAGTAATGGGTCTAGAAATCTATTCCCTTGCATCGTAACCCATACCACAATAGCTGATTTCTCAGTCACTCACAAGAGGAAAGGAGCAGTGTAGTGAGGTAAAAATCAGTCAATAAAGATCAATAAGCCTAATTTAGATATCCAGGAAGATAATGGAGCAAATTGTTTACCAGTCATTTTGCAATCAGTAGAGTATAAAATACCAGCATGGACTCGTCATGAGCTGATCTTGCCAAACCAAACATTCTTCATTGAGTAACTTGGATGAGTGGATGTTGTTTTAGCTTTTAGTAACATTTGACAATGACACAAAAGACGTTTTCAAACTAGGGAGATGCAGTTCAGATGGAAGTAATAAGACACAGCACATACACGCTGTTGAACACACACATCCATGATGGTCCTGTGCAGGGGGCAGAGATGGAGGCCTCTGGCAATGCAGTTAGGTGTCTGCACAGGTGGACAGTACCCACACGCAGATCTAATTGCACAGTTCTCACATGTGGTGTCTATGACCTTCCCCAGCCACAAGTCACAATCATGGTTGAAGACAGCTTTTCCAATGATATGGAAAACCTTCACTGAATGCTCTTCTTGGTTAAAGAAGGGTCAGATCCACATTCCCACATTTGCCACAAGCACATTTAGGGCATGTTTTGGGGCAAAACCAAGTTCTGAGTTCCCAGAACACTTCCAAAAAACATTAAGAGCCAATTCACTTCTAAGAAATATGCCACAATTTTAATCCATTACAGTTCAGTATAAAACAAATAACTAGTACTTAGGAGAGATAAGATCTGGAGAGGTAATAAAAATAGATAGATCAATGATGGAATAAACAACCCTTGGAGCAGGAAACCTAAGATGTCCTGTGCTGTGCTACAGAGACACTAATCTACTCTTGTTTGCTTCAAGGAATTTTATATTCTTTTTCTCTCAAAAGGGACATACCTTTTATGGGTGAAGTACAGAACATTTTTGTCACCTATCCCAAACAGCATTTAACTTAGTGCTTACAGTACCTTCTTCATAAATGTTAGCTTTACCGCAGGCAGGCATTATATCAGATCTCCTGTTCCCCTGACACATTCTCTCACTACAAAGCAAACTGGTAAAAAGTAGACCTCCGCCAACAACTTTTTTTTCTTTTAAGCATATTTTAGAAGGAAGATGGCTATGACCGACTATATGTGGGGTCCAGCTACTGTTTTTTCTTGGGCATGAGAAAGGTTTAGTGACTGACTGTAGTACCAAATGGTGATGTTGCAACCAGGCAGTGTTGGTAAAAGACTTAAAAGCCATTATAACATATATTTCATATGAATTGCAAGGCAATGTGCCTTGTCCCTGGTAGCTTCCTGTGGTCACTGGGGTCCCCACTTGAGATCATGCATTCCTCCTAGCACATCCCGTTCCTGGCTCATTTCACCTTTAAAGGTGAAAGCGTTGAAACCTTTCCTACCTTTACCAAGGATCCAGAGCAGACAAGGAGGTGACATGGGAGGGCCCGTGGAAAGGGGTCATTTCCCATTCCTCCTTCTCACCTGCTTCTGATGGAGCTCCCTGCAGACAACTGGCTGCTCTAGGACAGTGCCTGAATTATGTCCCATATCACAGGCCCCTGGTTCACTGTGGAAAAGTACACAGTTTAGAATAGAATAGAATAGAATAGAACAGAACAAATTCAGTTGGAAGAGACATACAATGATCATCTAGTCCAACTGCCTGACCACAAATTAGTTTAGAACTAGTTCCTCTCTAAACTGCAGAAATTCTCTCACTTGTGCAATGGTGTAACAGGAACAGCAAAACTTTATGATGTGCACAGTTCAGCTAAGGCATTATCCTGTCTCTCACCTTTACAAAAATAATGTCCTTAATGGCAGGTAGAAAAATACTGTGGCAGGCAGAACTCAGTTTGCTCTTTCTCCAGATTTGACATCCAACAGTCATGACATCCTTTCAGTGCTGAAACAGAAACTTTGTCATTCTGAAAATGTATCATGATTAGTTATGGAACTTCTGGATATTCCTAGAATGTATGCAGCCTTCTGAAAGCTGTAAGACGGATGTATTTTACACCCTTCTCATGCTGTGGGCCTTAGATTCACTTATTTCTCAGAATTTGAAGAAATATTCTTAAAAACTGCAAAGCAAAAACATGCAGTATAGTTTTAAATGTGTGCCTAGTGCCTTGATTGATTTGACACTTTAACGTGTTATAACAATGTTTCAAGGGTGAGGATGGAAAAATGGTGAAGTCTCGTTATGTGTGGTGGGTTTGAAAAATCCCTCCAGAAGCTGTGGATTGCCTCTAACTTAGACTCTCTCCTGGCTGCACAATGCAACAGCTCTTTCCCAAAATTCAAGAAAAAGATACTGTACATGCTTTAAAGTAATATTTGTTCTCTGTGAAAGGAAGTCGAATGAAACAAAGTATGCATCCATCTGAACAAAACAACTGCAAGAAGGATCTCTAACTTTTGAACAACACTCTCATCACAGAACTAACTTTTCTTAAGCCAATGAATGCTTTGCATTCATTGGCATGTGGCAGGACAGTACTGTTTAACAATGCATCTCTAGGCTTTATAAGAGAAGTAAATTTTAAGTAAATGGCAATGCATTCCAAAGATTGGCAAGACCTATGATAAATTCCAAATTGTATAAGGTGTAATCAACAGCAGGAGAAAAATGAACCAAAGTTGTCTCTTTCGAGACTATTTTCACATGAATAGTTTTGGGTTTGTTTTTTGTTTTTTTTTTTTTTTAACTTCATTTTACTTGTATCT